TGTGATCGTTCCTTACCGCAGGGGCAACGAGTTCTTCCGCACACCGACATTATAACTCGAGAAACTGTATGATCCCTTCCCGTCTGTAGGATATGATAATATACCTGTAATCATCAATTCCTCTGAATTTTTTTCCTTTTCAAGTTTTCAACGTAAAAAAATTTTGGTGTCTCTATTGACGATCTTTCTTCATCTGAGTGTATACTGAATTCTCGTGCAATGCCAAGACGATAATTTATCACTCTACCGCCGTGAAATCTATCTCTAACACACATCACATGTACATTTTTCAAATAAAAAATTATGTAAAAATTGATTGAACGAGTATCTATATACATTCTTGAGATTGAAAACAAACATCCCTTCTAAATTGAGATAGTTTTAGACGTATAATTGTCACTTTTACCGCAATCATCTGGAGGCGGAGCGGAAGCCTACGAGCGGGTCGAATCGAGCACGACTTTTCCCTTGGATCATTATTAGTGTTTAAACTCCAACTAATCCTACAAAATTATTAATTTACTACCTATTAGAAAAAAACATAAAATTCTAATTAAATGTATGCTTATGTCAACGAATGCATCTTTCTTTGAAATTAAATTTAAAATTATAAAAATTATTCGTCCTAATTTGAAAATTATCCAGATATCAAAGGCGTAACAGCATGACAATCTGCAATGAAACATACCAATTCATATAAAACAGATCAAGGAAAAAGTTTAACTTTTTCTTTATCTATGATTAAAATATTATATAAACATATAAATCTTGAAAAAATCTATGATTAAAATATTATATAAACATATAAATCTAGACAAAAAAAACACAATATAAAAGGGGGTAATTACAAAAAAACACCTAAAATACTATTATTTATAAATTAAGCACCCAAATGATTTTTTTGAACAGTAAGATTTCTGCATGTAATTGGCTCCAAATAAAAAAAAAAATATTTAAATTATATTTATAGGATAATTATATGTTGCTTTAAACATTATTCACCTGGAATTCACGGAAACGAGCGATCACCGCGCTGATTCAGCAGAGCATCTGGACCACACAAAATCCCACGTGGAGCACCACCAGCGAAAACGTGATGAGAGTGGGGCCCGCGCAAGCCCGGCTCTCCCGCCACGGCCTCGATGCCGGTCATGACTTTCAGAGCGTGGTTTCTCGGCATAACCTCTTGCGCCATTCTCATCTTCCTGAACACCTTCTTCACCTACCGCACGCAGCCAATGACCATCTCGGCCATCCTCATGCAAATAGCCGTGCTTTTCGTCGGCAGATTCATGGCTGCGACGCTGCCGAACAGGGAGGTAAGGCTGTTCGGCGGGCGCTGGTGCTTTAATTTGAACCCGGGGCCGTTCAATATTAAGGAGCATGTTATTATTACCGTATTTGCCAACTGCGGGGTGTCGCCAGGGGGAGGGGATGCCTATTCTATCGGCGCCATTACGGTCATGAAGGCTTATTATAAGCAGAGTATCAGCTTCCTCTGTTCTCTCATCATCGTCCTCACCACGCAGGTATATTAATGAGCTTTACTGTTAATTTGACAGAAAAATATGTCAGTGGTTCCAGATGCATCAGAGAGCAAGAGAATCAAATTTGATCTGAAATTTATGACATTTGTATGAGAACTATTTGATAATGCAGACATTTTTTTTTATTATACAGTTGATTGATATTCATAGAACAATAAGATAATGATAATAATATACTTGTAAAATATAACAATAATGTTATAGTGAAAATTTCTCAGCTGCTTGGCTATGGTTGGGCTGGCATGTTGAGAAAATACCTAGTCGAACCTGCAGGAATGTGGTGGCCAGCTAACCTTGCTCAAGTTTCTCTATTCAGGTTTACTCCATTGTTGCTCTGCTTCATCAATCTCGATATTTTAATCATGCATGCATGCATATATATAACTAGTTCTTGTATTCTGAAAACGACGCAGAGCTCTGCATGAGAACGAGAACAAAGATCCGCACCACAAAGGTCCAAGCAGAATGAAATTCTTCCTGATATTCTTCTTCGCCAGCTTCTTCTACTACATTTTCCCAGGGTTCCTCTTCCCCGTCATCTCCTTCTTCTCATGGGTATGCTGGGCATGGCCTCACAGCCTCACTGCTCAACAGATAGGCTCCGCCTACAGCGGCCTTGGCGTCGGCGCCTTCACCTTCGACTGGGCTGGCATCTCTGCTTATCATGGCAGCCCTCTGATAACTCCCTGGTTCTCCATCCTCAACATTGCCGCCGGCTTCGTCATGTTCGTTTACGTCATAGTACCTCTCTGTTACTGGAAGTTCAACGGATTCGGCGCCCGCAAATATCCAATTTTTTCCAACAAGTTGTTCACCTCGACGGGCCAGAAGTACGATACGACTACAGTCTTGACGCCGGAATATAAGCTCAATGTGCCGGCTTATAACAGCTACGGGAAGCTTTTTCTCAGCCCTCTGTTTGCGCTCTCTCTGGGCTCCGGGTTTGCCAGGTTCGCTGCAACCCTTACCCACGTTGCCCTCTTCCATGGCAGGTATTTTATCTCATTTTTTTTATTGATGCATCATGAACATTTTAAAAATTTACACATAATTGCTCTTCTGCGTGATTCTGTAGAGATATTTGGAACCAGAGCAAGTCGGCAGTGAACGCAGAAGAGGAAAACATACATGCGAAGATGATGAAAGAGTACAAACCGGTGCCGCATTGGTGGTTTCTCATTCTTCTAGCAGGAAGCGTCTTCTTCTCCCTCTTGATTTCTTTTGTGTACAAGGAACAGGTTCAGTTGCCATGGTGGGGGATGCTCTTTGCCTTCGCTCTGGCCTGGCTTGTCACTCTCCCCATTGGCGTCATACAAGCTACAACTAACCAAGTTGCCATCTTTTTCATATCGATCAATTCCTTTCTTTCGATCGTATCGATTTTAATTAATGAATGATTGACAGATTTGATTATTTCTTCCGCAGCAACCTGGATATGATATCATTGCGCAGTTCATGATCGGATTTATATTGCCTGGGATGCCGATAGCCAATCTTCTCTTCAAAATATATGGAAGGATAAGCACAGTTCATGCTCTCTCCTTTCTTTCTGATCTCAAGCTTGGTCAGTATATGAAGATTCCCCCACGGTGCATGTACGCCGCCCAGGTAAGAAAAACTCATATATCCTTCCTTATATCTCTAAGTGGGATCAAATTTATGAAGGTCTGTACGTTCTCTTACCGTTTCCGCATGTGCATGTACGCCGCCCAGGTAAGAAAAACTCATATTTCCGTCCTTATATCTCCAAATGGGATCAAATTTATGGTCCGTACGTTCTCTTACCATTGGCGCAATCCATCGAACAGCTTGTGGGCACACTAATCGCTGGCGCAATCAACCTCGCCGTAGCATGGTGGATGCTCGAAACCATCGAGAACATCTGTGATACTGACGTTCTTCCCTCCGACAGCCCATGGACTTGCCCAAAATACCGTGTAACCTTCGACGCCTCCGTTATCTGGGGTCTCATCGGCCCTGCGCGCCTCTTCGGTCGCGCCGGCCATTACCACCACCTCGTCTGGCTCTTTCTTGTCGGCGCAATCCTCCCTTTCCCCTTCTGGATCCTCAGTAAATGCTACCCAAAGAAGAAGTGGATCGGCCTCATAAACGTTCCTGTCATCTTGTACGGATTTGCCGGAATGCCGCCGGCGACGCCGACGAACATAGCCAGTTGGCTCATAACCGGAACGGTTTTCAACTACTTCGTCTTCCGTTACCGGAAGCGGTGGTGGCAGAGGTATAATTACGTCTTGTCAGCGGCGCTGGATGCGGGGACGGCGTTCATGGGAGTGCTCATCTTCTTCGCGCTGCAGCAGAACGAGAGGGTGAAGTTGAGGTGGTGGGGGACGGAGGTGGATCATTGCCCGCTGGCCACGTGTCCGACGGAGAAGGGAATTGTGGTTGCAGGTTGCCCGGTATTCTGATTGCCATGCGAGCTGCCAATAGGAGGTAAATGCGGCCAAAGCAAAGCATACGTTTTTTTTTTATTATTTAGTTTTGTTGATTTCTAAATTTATGTGATTTATTAAGTTGAGTGTAAAATAAAAATTTTATTGGTTATTTTTATATTGCAATTATGAACGTTCTAAATTGAATTCAATTTTTATTTATATAGTCTAGCTTTATTAAAATTGTTGGATATTATATATAATGATCCTGATATTTTTAGTAAAAATCCTGTCAAGGAAAAATTTTGATCTGATTTAGTTCAATTAAAATAGTTTTACTAATGTATTCACCTAAGAAATTATAAATATCACATGTACATCGAAAATGTGATGCATGGATTTCGAGAAAGTTCAATGGATTACATCGAGAAGATACCAAAGGATTGCATCTAAATGGTTGAAAGACAAAGACATCAAATATTATTTCATTCGGTCGAAATAATTGGTTGATTGAATAAAAGTATAGGCACATGAAGAAACATTATGCACTCGATATGAGGAACAGACATTGTGTAATCAACTCCCTCAATCAATTCTAGGATCCTTCACAAAAAGGACCAATAATCGCATCCTCTGACTGATGTTTTAAATTCACCATAACGATAAGAAGGTCTCTATGGGCTTCCAGCAGACCAAACTATTATCAGATGATATTAATACCATAGTTCAAACAGTTATGAATATAAAACAACACCAAAGACGGTAAAAAGTATTAAAGGATTATAAGATCAGTTACAAATATGTAAATGTATAACAATATATTAATCACTTGTAACATTCCTATCAAAGCAGAGATAAAATATGTAATTTACTAGACACTTCCTATGATTTATAAATTATGTAATTTCAAGAAAAGATTACTACATCTATTCCCAGACAACTTGTTATTTTTAGACAACGATGTTGATCTCTTCTGAAAGGAGTGAGTGAGGCCCGGCGTGTGGTGGTCGATGGTGGTCAGTGATGGTTGGCAGCTGTAAGAGTAGGAAGTAACTTTAACTCATTCTCCAAGCTTCAGTCAGTTTCATGCTTCAAGCTCCATTCCTCCTCTCTTTCAAGAGAGGGCGTGACTCTATTTATAGAGTTACGGTTGTAATTAATGAAGGAATATGAATCAATATGATCGAACGACCCAAAAAGATTTCCTCAATTAGTCGAAGTTCGATAGAGATTTGAGTGACATAAAAATGTCAGGATTGAACGATCTTTAGCTTGTTGGATTTGTTTTGTTGAGACGCTCGAATCAATTATAAGCTCGCCAGATTGACCTTCCAAATATGCCAGAAATATTTTCAAATGTGATTTAATAGTTTGATCGGGGCTTGATTTATCTCGGATTGGACAAACTTGTCATCATTTGGTCCGTGTCGTCGAGCCGGTCAGTTTAACTGCAAATTTGTTAAAATCGGAGCTTATAAACAAATTTTAATCGAACATTGAACATTTATTGATCTAAAGATTGCCTCAAGTTCCTTATCATATCTCGAGATTTGTACTAGATGTTGGAAATTTATTGATGGCGTATCAATTCAGATACATATATCTGTAAAGTTACAAAAAAAAACTTTCTATTAATTTACAATATTACTTCTTATTATATTTTGGAAAAAAATTATTCTTTAATAAATTTTCATATGATGTTCAAGCTCTGATGCTTAATATTAAGTTTGCTACTTGTATGTCTGAAAAAATATTGACAGTAGTAGAAAACGGCCGGCCATCTCATTCGGCCAGCCACCCCAGTTGACCGACTTGTCACAACTCGGAATGGACCCATCAACGAAAAGGTGTCAATGAAGACCGGTAACTCCTAGAAGTATAATGACTTGTAAATCCCAAAAATATAATGACTTGTAACTTCTATGAGCATAATGATCTGTTACTCCAAGGGGAATAATAACTTGTAACTTGTAACTCCCATGAGCATATTGATTTGTAACTCCCAGGGGCAATGATGTAATTTTCTAGATCCCCCCTATGATCCATACAATGAGTATCTTTTCCATGTAAGGGGAGAAGCCATTTGGCCTCTCTAGTCATTGGGGCATCGCTCTCCCTTTTCTTTACAGTCACATTTTTGATGAAATAAAAGGGGACCTAGAGCCCGAGAAAACCCCCACTTTGTCCTGTTGGGGCCAGTCACTGTGCTTTATGCATTCGACATGGTGGACATGACAAATTTGGATTCAACATTGATGTCGTGAGTGTGGATCGTGCCATCAAAAAGAAGACGAGTACCACCGAGGAAAAACCATTCAGAGAGGCACTTCAAGCAAAGAGCGTGTAAGGGGAACTCGTACAAAAACTGGTTCACTCCATTTATTCCTCTTTGTCGACAATCTCGAAGAAACTCTGCCTATATCTGCGTAGATCTATAAAATTCTCTTTCAATTTATGAATTCATTGGACACCGAGATTATGGTATATTTCCTCAGTAAATAGCTAATTAGGGATTTACTTATGAGGAATCACCTGCTAAGGTCACATCTAAGAAACCTAACAATTGGTCTACGTGAAACCTAAAGCAATCTATAATAGCGACGACAGTGAGGTCCCTACTCTGTTCAGCGACCGCGCTCCGGCGAGGCCCGAAGATGAGCTCCAACTTTCTTTTCCTAAAGAAGGGAAGTTTATCTTCCTCGAGCTGCAACGATGATGTCTATTAAATGGTAATATGGGAGAAGATTACATATGCAGGGATTGCCACTTGCGCCATTCTCTCGATCTTTCATCTATCTAAGGAATATCCACGCCACGATGAACCCCTCCTTACTCTTATCTTCACGTCTGGAACAAGGAATTCCCATGGAGACAAGATGTGTTTTTGAGCAGAAGCATTAAACCAGATTTCGCTTGGTTCCATCACTGAGGAAGCTAAAGAACTCCATTACCATGCAGTTTTATCATCAGAATCCCTTACTCCATCTGTTAATAGATCCAAACTCAGACGATGATCTTCTAATTTATAATTCTGAACTTGAATTTGGATCAATCCAAATTTTTTGAGCTAAGAAACATCTTTGATTCAAGTTTAGATCCATTTTAGATTATTACTGAACTATTGTCATAAACATTATTTGCAGTAAGACAACCTCTGACCGACTGATATTCCGACTACCCCAGCCGGTCACCTGCCTCGGACCAGCTGTATTTCTCCGGTCATTCATCTTAAAATTAGATAAGATTCACACAACACTCTATTCTCATATATTTAGTATTCAATTTGTTTATGCTTCCAACAAGCCACCCTCTAGTCGACTGCTGCTTCGATTGCCTTCGGCCGATCACCTACCTTGGACCAGTTGTATATCTACGACCGACAATTTTAAAATCAAGGAAGATTCACATATCTATCACTTTATTCTTATATTTATGTCATTACATAAATACCACTCAATTTTATTTTCCATAAAGCATCCTCCGGTCGGCAACTACCTCCAGTCAACCGCTGATTCAGTCGCCCCTGACCGGCCACTTACATCCCGCCAATCACTCACCTCTGGTTGGCTATTTTTTTGCTACTGGTCATCACAAATCAGGAATGTCAAAATATCCGAGCGATTTAAATATGCAATAGATCGAAAATTCTGGGAGATCAAAATAGCCAATAATGATATTTCATCTTTTTTTAAAAAAAACTGTATATAACCTTTAATTTTGTTTTCCTAGGTTCGAAAGAGACTCAAGAAACTCAAAAAGTAAGTTCACAAGTTGCTACATCTAAGCTGACACTCAAGAAATTTCAGCCGACCGAGAGGTAAGCAAATAAAAAACTCCCATTTAAGGCAAGCAAATGAAAGCCTCCCCTTTAGGGGCGAGCAAATCAATGACTCCCCTCCGGGGCGACCAAATGAAAGACTCCCATTCAGGGTGAGCAAATCAACAAAGCCCTTGCCCTCCGAGGTGAGCAAATAAAAGACTCCCTGTCTGGGGGAGCAAAGCAACGACTCCCCTC